CAAACTTTCGTTCCAATGAACCAATAGCTTGATCACCTATGTATACAGAATATTGAATCATGAATGACTATTGAGGTGAAAGTTCATGTACTGATTCTGATGACCCAACGTCACTCTCATCATTTTTTAAATTCTTCTTTAATTACTTTTTTTAATAAACACTCGATCCATTCCTAAATAAGAAGTTATAACTCTATGGATAGTCCTAGATTTAAGTTGTTTGCTCAGGTAATTTACTTTTATTCAATATATGATACCATATAATCATATCAGTTATAAAATCAAATCAACCAATAGATTTATTCCTAAATAAGAAGTTGTTTGCTTAGATAATTTAATTTAGCCAATGTATTGTTTAAACTTTGGTTCCAATGAACCAATAGATTCAAGTTATAATTAGATTTTGATTTTTTTTAAATTTTCTTCATAATTAAAATGACATTACGATTACAAATAAACGTTATATTGTGTATATAAGTAACCGACACGACTAATTTTCTTTAATGATAACACATAAAAATGTCTTTTACAAAAATACCAACACCATAACTATATTTGTCCTAAAATTTGGAAACCCTATACGACCGTACCGTCTGCACATCCTAGGTCCGCCACTGTTGTGAAAGGGGGACACTTTTTAGTGTGGAAAATGATCACTTCATAATACTCTTTGTAGCCTAGATCTGCAAAATAGCCATTTTCTACATTAGAAATGGCATGTACAAAAGATACATCGAGCAAATTCATTAAAAAATTATTCACATATTCTACATACCAGTTTCCTATATTTTGATAAACTTGGAATCATTACATGTATGCTATGATATTTCAACCAATATCCGAGTTTGGAGTTAGGGTTGAAAAAGATTTCAAAATTCATTTTCGGTATAAAATGAAAGAGAAACCTGAAATATATATATATATATATATATATATATATATATATATATTATATATATATATATATATATATATATATATATATATATATATATATATATATATAAAATCTATTCTTCGATTTTGCGTCTTCTCCTCTTTCGTCATCTTCTTCGTCTGCTTTAACACCCCGCTCCCGAGTTGTAGCAAAGAAAAGAAGAGAAAAGAAAAGAAAGTAAGGAGAGAAAAGAAAGGAAAACAAATTTGTTATTTGTGCTCCCGGGTTAGAGAGAAATGGAAGGAAAGTTAAACATTTTGTTCTTTATTTTCAAATTCTCCCAATCTGAAAGAAAGTTAGGAGAGAAAATTTTTCTTCCATTTCCTTCCACTTCCTTTTCCACTTCCTTGCTTTAATGAAACTCATGCGTAAGTGCATTGCTACAGTTAATCAGTTCCTCAATTTTCCAGTCTTTTCTGCTTCCATTCCCTGCTTGGTATTCTTTTCGACTTCTTTTCTTTCTTTTTTCCTTTTCTATGCTTCTGAATGTTTTTCTTTTGTCTTTCGTTGTTGTTTCTATTAGCTTTCATTGTCGTCTCTTGATTAATCTATCTTCAATACATACATATTGCTTTCGTTTGCATAAATCTCTGACTTCCTGTCTTCTTTGTGTAGTATACGACCCCCAATTTTGCATATCCTTTTGTTTTGTTTATGCATTACAGGAATCGACAGACTGAGGACAGATGATTGGCCATCTCCTTCTCAAGGAGACGATTGACGAGATAACACCATAATCCCAATGGTCCTCGCTCGCTTTTATCCCCATTTGATTTCAATTTCTTCTTGCCATGAGGTAAAAGAGTAGCGTTCTTAAATCTAGTTACATCCTATCCTATACCATAATATATATATATATATATATATATATATATATATATATATATATATATATATATATATATATATATATATATATATATATATATTATCATAATTATTTTAAATTATGTGGTTTGTATGCTGGAAATAGGTAAGTAACATTTTCAAAACACACAACAACTATTCAAATGGAACCAATCAATGTAAGCTTATTTTTTTCTTGACTTTTTATAAGAAGGATAAGATACATCAATGCTTCCTCATTATGGGAGGAGTTTGTTGGAAGGCCTTTTAAGACATCTTCAGGTGGAATCTCTTTTATTTTTATTTTCTTCTAATGGGTTATAGTATTTTTACCAATAGTAGTATCTGTTCAACAGTTTCACAGGTTCGCATCTTCATTCAACTCCAACTCTCATGTGTTAGAAGGTTAACATAAACAAACATGGAAGAAAATTATGTAATTTCTTTTTTTTTTTTATGATAATATACTAACATAAATTGATGCTTATGGATTAGAACTGATAAATATTCACTTTCTACTTTTAATTGTGTTATAAACATAGCAACTATGATTAACCATTAGATAGATCAAATGTGGCAATTGAATTAAGTTATGTTTCAGATAGAGCCTTTTGAGTTCACTTTAGCCATCTGTATTGAAGGTACACTACATCTGATAAGATAATTGTTCATTGTAAAAAAAAAAAAAAAAAAAAAACTTATGGGTGTTTATTGCCTCCTTCAAGTTAATGATATTTAGAATTTCGTTTCGAATAACTAGGTTTGAACATTTTTTTGAGAATCCCTATGGAGCTTTTATACAATCTTATGTCTTTAGCTTCATCGTCTGATGCTACGGTTTGGTCTCTTTTTTGGATCAATTTGTATTTAAAGAAACAGACCTATTTGGTATCTTTGCTGTTGTGAAGGTAAATATTTTTGTTACAAGTCTTTTTTTTTTTTGCTTGAATTAAAGATTACGAGTTGTGTGTGTGTGTGTGTTTTTGTAGCCTAATTACCTAATACTTACTTCTATAGTAAATTACATTTGGCATCTATTATTACGTACTTACTTCTATAGTAAATTACATTTTAGTATAGGAGTATAGTTTATTTTCACAATTTTGGTCCCTAAAACTTTTCTCTTTCAATTCTTTTTCATTAATTGAGGTTCTTAAAACCGTTTTCGTCCATCTTCCAAATCAAATGACTACTTTTGGTACCTTAATATAGTTAATTTTTACACTTTGGATCCAAGAAATTAACAAGAGAGCTTTTTAGGACCGAAAGTGTAAATTACTCTTACTTTTCTTTGTCAGTGTAGTAACAAATTAGGTCTAAGCCATGAACTTGGTAGCTTTGTTGTTGGAGTCATGAAGAAGAAAGTGAATCTTTTTACAAACAATGTTCTGTTTCAATTTGTGTAAATATTATATTAATATGAAAGAAAGAAGTGGCATTGTAGATCCAATACAACATAGTTTTTTGTTGCTATTAGAAGATATATATGTGTCACAGGCAAAGGGATTGGAAGTTCTAGAAGTGGCATTGTAGATCCAATACAACATAGTTTTTTGTTGCTATTATTGCGAAATTTTTTAAAGCACAACATCCTTATAAGGAAAATTTTGTTGAAAGTACACCACTATTATTGGTTAGAGTTAAATGTTTTATAAAGAAAAAAATGAAAGTACAATGTTGTAATAGAAGGGAATAGCAAGTATATTGTTATTTCTTGCATTTATGTCATTGGAAAATATGTAACACTTGATTAAAAAGTTATCCAAAAAGGAATTGTTTCAGTTTATGTTGTACAATAAGTGTGTATCATAGATATTTTTTGGTCTTTCTTGCAGCTATTCATAAATAAATCAAATGTTATCCTCAACATGTCATTGTACACACTTACCAAAACAGTTTATAATTGCATCCCCCCCCCCCCCCCTAAAAAAATGGGGAGTCTTCACTAGTTTGTCTTATACTATATTTGGCAAGGCCCCACTTTAAACTTCAGATAGGGCTCGATGGGCTTCATAGTGCCTTCTTTATTTGTAGTGGTGTGCTACAAAATTAGTGGTTATAGGGAAATTTTCTTTAGATTGTGTAGAAAAATAGTTTTTTTTTTTTTTTTTTTTTGTCATTTTTCTAATAGCATCTTTAAACCATCTCCAAATTTTATTTCTTTTCTCTTATTTTGTCTTTCATTTTCCTTCAATCCTACCGCATTTATGTCTCTATTTTTTTTTAGATATAAATAGTATTACTTCAAATAATGAGGAGCACCATTCATTTCTCTAAAAATGGAATTGAAGTTTCAGTTGTTGATTTTGTCTGTTTTTTATTCTATACATTTCTAGTTTATTTTTATCTAATAGTTATAATTTAAATTTAATATTTAATATTTATAAAATCTTGTTATATATCAAATTATATTAATTAATCATAAATATAATATTTAATATCTATTTATCGTATTCATATAAAAAAATTAAATACATAATAAAGATTTGAAACATGTAACATATTTATAAAAGCTTACAGTTGAAATCAACATAAGATAATGACTACATGCATTATGGTAGACGTACCAATTGAAGTGACGGATAATGTGGTAAACGAGCTCTTGTAGCCTGTAGGTCGTGAGGTATAGGGCGTGTTCGACACACAGCGTTTGGAAGCTTCTGACTTTTAATTTTTAAGAAAACGCTAGTAAAAAAGAAAAAATCTCGTTCGTTGACAGGAGCGTTTAGTTTTTAACCTAAACAAAACGCTCCAAAATCAAACGCTACCAGCTAGCCGCTACCTACTACCTACTACCAGCTAGTTTTGCCGAACACGCTCATAATAGATACAAGTATGTTGTCGGTTACCTCTATATTGTTATAGTGTGAAAACTAGTACTTTTGAGTAGATTTAAAATAGTTGGACATAAACAGTATTATCCCATTTGAAAACGGAAGAACATAGATGCTGCAAAAGAAAACAATGAAACAAAAATGAAACTTACTACTTGTAATCTTTATAATAAATTTTGAAAAACCCAAGTCTAAGAATTGTAAAAGTTGATTACTATCGAGTAAAATTATCCAAATATTCATTTGGTTAACACTCGAGTGTTTAAACCTCTTAATTTTCCTTGCTTATTTAAATAAGTTCTTAATGTCCAGTTTTTATACTTGAAACTTTAAAGAAAATAAATCTCTTTAGTAAGAAAAATTCAAAAAACAAAAGATTAATTCCAATTTCCACAATATGAGCCCATTAATAAGTAAACCAACCCAATATTACACAACCCAAACTCAATTTTCTAGTTATGTACACCGAATGATATAAGAGGTCACCTTTTAATGAGTCATTTTGATACAACAACAAATCAAAAGCCTCTAAATGATTCAGTTTTATCAAACACTAAAACTCTACAACATCCATGGAAACAGAAAAGTTAAGAAAATTAAAAGAAATAAATTGTAATAATTTCTTTAGAATTACATAATTTCAACCACAGCACGACCTATAATACTTCCCTTATTTAAATCTTCATACGCTTTTCCTGCCTCCTCAAACTTACATTTTCTTGAAACAGCCGCATCAAGATTAAAGATCCCACTTTCTGCCAATTTCACAAGCTTTGGAAGATCATGTCTCGCTCTTCCTCCATAAGATCCCATTACTTTTATCTGTTTTTTTAACAATAATAATTAATATTTGCGTTTTTTAATAAAAACAAAAAATATATATATATGATTATATTATTAAAACATACCTGTCTACGAACCAAATGGTTTATATCTATTTCACCTTTGGCTCCCGAGAGTGTAAGACCAATCATAACAGCTTTTCCACCATCTCTTACACTTTGTACACATTGCATAAATGTTTTTGGATTTCCCAATGCTTCAACACACGTGTCAACACCCATCCCTCCCGTTATTTCCTGTCCAATAATTTCATCACACGTGTCAAAACTATTGTTATGAAAATAAGAAAAGAAAAGGATTATTATATAATTTATAAATATAAATACTTTGATCCTTGAAACCGCATCTTCATTTCGAGCATTTACAACATGAGTGGCTCCGAATATTTTAGCTTTCTCGAGTTTATCATCTTGTATATCAACAGCGATAATCTCGGATGCACCGAATGCACGTGCTATTTGCAAACAACTGCAACAAAAACACCAAAAAAAAATATGTTGGTTATTCTAATTTAAAGAAATAAAAGAGTAAATTACTGAAATCGTTATATGGTTTAATCAAAATTGCATGTTTGGTCCTTAACTTTCTTTTTGCACTCAGATTGTTTCTGTGGTTTGATTTTGTTGCGTTTTGATTGCATGTTTGGTCTCTAACTTTCTTTTTGCACTCAGATTGTTTCTGTGGTTTGATTTTGTTGCGTTTTTCGTCCCTATGTTTTGGTCAAAATTATATGTTTGGTCCCTAAGTTTATGTATGTATGGGACGAAAAGCGCAACAAAATCAAATCACAGGGACGATCCGAGTGCAAAAAGAAAGTTAAGGACCAAACATGCAATTTTGACTAAACCATAGGAACAATTTCAATAATTTACTCGAAATAAAATAATCAAGTGCTGTTTTGTTTCTCGCTAAACTTATGAAACGACAAAAGCACACAAGAAGGGTAAAATTGGAATTTTAAACTTTTAGCTTTCTTTCTCTTTCTCTTCACCTTAAGAAACACGAAAAATATTTAAAACATAACATGTCTTTTTCATTTATATCCAACTCAATAGCATAAACAAATTTACCCTATATTTATCACAGGGCAAAAATACTAAAAACCATTACATACTTTCGCTTTTTTACGAATTTAGCCCCTCAACTATCACATTTTATCAATTCAGCCACATAATCAGTTACCAAATCAAGATGGATGTATTTGATACAGCCACTGAATAGTTAAGGAAACCTACCTTCTCTTAACCATTAAGAGCTTTGAATCATTCAGCACTAAATAACAATATTCTCTCACCTTGATCCTACACCACCAACACCAATCACAGCAACCGCATCACCAGGGCGGACTTGGGCGGCATGCGCCATGGCACCATAGGCGGTAAAAACCGCACAACCAATTACCGCTGACTCAGCATACGGTAATGTATGAGGTAAAATAGCCAAAGCATTTGCGGGGACCACACTGTATTCAGCAAGACCTCCCATACTATACATATACACCGGTTTTCCTACATAATAAAGTTATTATGCCTTTTTTTTTTTGGGCCTTTAGTAGATAATTTAAGCCACTCTTACCACTTCCACGGAGAAAAAGACGTGTTTCACCATCATAGAGTGTACCTTTTGCACGATTATAAGCAAAAAAAGCTTCGCATAAATCATCTTGACCCTGTTTTGCAAGTATCAAATGTACACACACATGAACTTATCTATGTGTGCATATGTATATGTATATTTATATGTATAATATCAAAATGAGATAATCCGATTACAAGGAATGTTGAATCTTGTCACCTTAGTGCAAAAGAAGCAGTTACCACAAGGCATAATAAAAGCACCCACAACACGAGCTCCCAAAGGAAGCCTATAAAATAAACATAAATTATAATGAGATGTAGATTTTTGGTAAAAAGAAATTAAAAAAAAAAAAAAATTAAAAACCTTTCGATTGTTTTAGTGTCAGTCAATGGGCCATGCTCAACAACCTCCCCAGTGATTTCATGGCCCACAACACATGGTGATGGAAATGGGAGTTCACCCTTCATTACATGAAGATCAGAATGACAAACACCACAAGCTGAAAAAAAAAATTAAAAATTAATTTATGCAAGAAATAGCAATGTTGCATTTGATTATTTCTTGTTGCTAATTCTTGCATTCAACTCTTCTTCTTGTTGGATACATAGCATCATGCAGAACCAAAAATTCCAAATTCCCAAATTCCCAAACTCACATGATTTTGATTTTCAAATTTTGTCAAATACTTCCCAAACTCAGTTACAAATTTAACTTCTATGGGTCATTTGATCATTTCTTCAATATTGATGTATTTCAATAGTAAAAGATCCAATCAATCATGTATGAGAGTTCTCCTAGCCATAATTTCATATGAACCCAGTAAATTTCTGTACTTATTCGACACATATACATGATCAAAATTACTGCATTTCAACTTTTCGAACTATAAATTGACACATGCATATGATGATCTGGTCAAAAGTAAACCCTAAAAATTAGAGGAAAGGTTTAGGGCACAAAATTTTCAGTGCTGTGCTACGGAAATCAGAAGAAAAATGTCTAATCAAAAGCAGAAAGGGATTATTTTCGCAAATCATACCTTTAGTTTTGATAAGCACTTCGTTGACTTTAGGGCGAGGCATTTCAAAATCTTCAAAAGTCATAGGCTTGTTTGGTTCCCAGAAAACAGCTCCTCGCATATACGATGGTCCACCGTTCAGGTGATACGATGAACTCGAGATTGTTGAAAATGATTTCGCTTTCGGGTGATCGGAAGAAGAAGGTGAAGAAGGTGTTACTGATCTTGTCAATTGATTAGAATATAGCGAAGAACAAGTGTAAGTTGTTGTTCTTGATCGAGAGGTATTGATGAGATTTTGGAGTAATTTGGTGTATTGATTGAAACCCATTTGAGTTTTTGATCTTTCTGTTGTTGTTGTTGATCGATGGATTGGAGTAGGAAGAGCGAAAATGATGGCCGGCCGTAGAAGAGCACTTGAACTAGTAGTACTTGGTAGTAGTTTGAAAGGGATGATGACGATGATTCAGATTCCTTATTATCTGAATCAACTCTTTTTCAATTTGACCTTTCTATAACGATTATTTTATTTTGGGTAAATTACATGGATGGTCCCTGTGGTTTAGGGTAATCTGCGTGTTTGGTCCCTAACAATTTTTTTTAATCGGACCGTCCCTACTTTATATTTTTGTTGCACGCGTGGTCCCTATCTGTTCTAAAAAAACTGATTTACCCTTACTGATTTCTTTTATTCTTTTTTAAATTATTAGATTTAAAAAAAAAAAAAAAAAAAAAAAGTATTAATTAAATATGAACAAAATATTAATTAAATATATGGGATTATGGGTCTATTTCCTCATCCCCTCCCATCAAAGCTCACCCTTCACCTCCCTCATTTTCCTGTCCTTCTCAAACGAGCGCATAACTTGGTAAGGGATCTAGAGTTTTCACACCTCAATTTTTCCTTCTTCTATATCGGAAATTGTAGAAAGCACAAGCATGGCGGTTGGCGACGGGAACTAGGGTTTTTGCACCTCCTTTTTTTGTTCGTGTTCGTGGGAAAAAACTATGGCAACAGTGAAGATAGGTTCTAGGGTTTCTGAAGATCAATTGGGGTTTTTTGGAGATCGAGAGATGTGAAGGCAGGGATGGTGGATGTCGATGGCGAAAACTTACCACTCTTTCTCTCCCCCTCATCTCTCATCTCACTGATGGTACTTACATCACCACCTCCGACAATCAATGTCATCAAACCAGCTTTGTTTGCAGACATCGTCTTCCAGTGAACATCAACTCCCTTTCTTTAGTTCGAACCCACTGAATTTCCCATTCTCTCACATAGAACAAAAATCATTTCGGTTTTATCATTGATATTGTCGGTCTCTAGACTGGATTTTTGGGTTTCAAACATTGATTTCTCATCATCGATCTTCTTCATTTTCAAAGAAATTTGATCTTTGTCTTCCAGACCACAGTCCATTAGTCAATTTATAGGATTCATCATCAATTGCGATTCAAACATTTTAGTTTATGTGGTTTCAAATGCAAAAACTAGAACACCATAGGATCGGTGTGAAACGGTAAAGGCATAAGAGGGTGTTCTTGTGCTACTGACGAAAGGGTGGGGGGTTCACCTGAATCTGGTTTTGTTTTAGGATTGATCATCATTTTCAGGTTTTATTTTGGTTTTGGATTTGAGTTACATGTTTGGATTTAGATGTGTATTTAGTTTGTTGAGTTTTGGGTAATTTATATGCTATTGGATCTATGGTCGGCGATGACGACCGGAGCTGGTGCTTGTGACCGAAGGTGGTGACAAGAGTAGAGGATTATGTTGGGATCTGTCATTTTTCCAGCAATATGTTAATAATTTAATTTAATTTATTTAATAATAACTAAAATACATAAAAAGAATTAACAACATAAAAAAAGAACTAACAAAATAAAAATAGTAATTAATGGCAAAATAGTCTTTTTAGGTCAGATAGGGACCAAACATGCAACAAAAAGTTGTAATAAGTACCTTCCGTGTAAAAAAAAGTTGTTAGGAACCAAACACGCAGATTACCCCAAACCACAGGGACCATCCGTGTAATTTACCCTTTTATTTTTATTTTATATTTTTATTGTTCATTTTTCAAAATTTAATTAAAAGGTAAATATACCCAAAATAATAAATAATCTGATATTCAAATAGGACAAATTTGCAAAAATATCATATACTTTTTTGAGGTTTTAGTTTAAACTTTAACTTTTTTAGATTAGTGGTCTTTTTGAGTTACTTTCGTTGCGGATTTAGGCTATGTTTGATAGATTAACTGAAAAGTTATTTGATAATTAAAAAACTAACTGACAAAAAATAACGTTTGGTAAAAACTAGTTGAAGCCTATAAAATAACGTAAACGGACATTTAGAAGAATTCATTTTTTGTAATTAAATAAGGGTTCATTTGGGAAATTTTTAAAAAGCTACTCAAAGTAGCTTTTTAAAAAACTATTTTATCAGCTACTTATTGATTTGTTACACATAACAATTTAAAAAAGCTCAAAAAATAAGCTAGTTGTGGCATGCTAAACATAGGTTTAGTTCATTAGTAAATTGAAATTACTGTAATGCCCTTCTGATTTATTTTTTATGTTTTTTCTATTTAATTTAAGTGAAAAAGAAAATAATTAATTAATTAATTTGGGCCCACATATCTTTGTGTGTGTGTATAAAGAAAAAATCAAAAAAAAAAACCACCCTAATCCATATTCTTCTTCCCCACATTTTCTACCTCAATTATTATGCAATAAAACTTGTAAATTATTGATGAAAAACTATAAGCTACTCTGGAGTAAAAAAAGATGAATAAACGAGAGTTTGGAGCTTACTTGTACGAAGAGGATTTTCGTGTATAGGGGAACCCTCATCGACCCCCAGTGGGTGTTCCAATTCCTTGCACCTTTTATCCCATTCCATTGTCCCGGTGATGTTTAATGAATAATATTTCGAATTGGAACTGATAAACCATCGATTAGTCTCTGATACACACGATTTAGTCTCGGTGATGCATATGGTGAGGCATGGAAGCCTTACCCTTCAAAAAGGTAAGGGGGTTTGAAGAACACCCAGAAAAATTTCAGACTCATCTCGTTCAAGTTTTACTTGGGTGAAGTCGTAATCTTGCAGCTTTACTAGGAACCAAATTTCTTTAGGAGATTTTTGTGAGAATAAAATACACTGTAAAAATACAACATGTTCATCATCTTCCCAATTTCACGCGCACAGTAGAAATACAGTAAACAGGGTTTTGTTGGACAGCAAAATCAATTTCTATAGGGTTTTGTTAGGGTTGAAAAATCAATTTCTACATGATTTTGTTAGATCTAGAAGTCTATTTCTTTCTTTTGATAAGGAAGTCGATTTGCATGTGTATGTGTGTGTGATTGTTCATCATCCGATGTTGAATTTGAACCTTGTTTCTTCATCATTCGATGTTGAATCCTTCAAGCACCTCCAAATCTTTGATACTTCGATGGAGAAGAAGAAGAATAATGTTTGGCTTTCTTCATTGGGCATCGATTAAAGATGAATTTACACTGTTTGTTTGTGGGTCTAAAAAATGAAGCTTCGTCTTATAGTGTCAAGCACCTCTAAAAATGAAGCACATATATATATATATATATATATATATATATATATATATATATATATATATATATATATATATAGAGAGAGAGAGAGAGAGAGGGGCCTCTTATTTTTTTATTTAAATAAATAAATAATTATTGGATTTAAGAAAATGAAAGAAAAATAGAAAATAAATAACCCAAGGGTATTAAAGTTATTTTAGTTTACCGATTGACCAAATCTGCAACAAAACTAACTCAAAAACGATCACTAATCCAAAAAATGTAGGGTTTGAACTAAAACCCCCAAAAAATACATACCACAGGGACCATTTTTGCAATTTTGTCTTCAAATATTCAAAAAGTAATATATGTAAAAAAAATAGTTTATAACCTATTGGAAACACACTTATAAAATAATTAAATTTTCATAGTAAAATTTTATAATTATTAATCAATTATTTTAAATAAATTATTAATTAAGAGATATACTAAAATTTTAAAATTAGTTATAACTTCAAATTTAGGATATAACTACAAAAGTAATTGTTTATATAAAAATTTAAAATCTATTATTTAAAGTCTTAACATCATTAATTGTGATAATATTTACCTAATAGATCTCCCTAACACATGATATAATATTAATGAAAATTTGTATTATAATGACATACGACAAAAGAAGATTAAAACTATTTTTTAACACACTTCTATATGGCAAATTGAAGTGTTTTTTTAGCCAACCCCTATCCCAAGTTGTATTTGTTAATTTTGTTATGTGGTTTCAACCCTCTCTCACACCATTGCATGATATATGTATCACATTGTTAATTTCTTCGAACTTGTTGCAAGTCGTTTAGCTTCAAACTTATTGTATAGTATAGCTTCTTAAAATAAATACAATTTTCCTTGATAAAAAAAAATGTTTATAACAAAAAAACCTATGTGACATCATATTTAACACGGATTTTGAGAAAATGAAAAAACACTGGTTTTACCTCTTCTTTCCTTGATTTCAACTCAGATAACACATTTTATTCCATCTCGAGAAATTTGCACATTTTGAAAATCGAAGTGAAAAGCTCAAATAAGGGCATATATATGTAAATAAAAAAGTTATGTTTGACAAGAAAAACCTCGTTTCTTTGACTTTCTATATTAAGTCGTTCTTTTTGCTTTTACTATTAATTAAAAAAAAAAAAAAAAAAAAAAAAAAAAAAAAAAAAAAAAAACCTTGTGTACAGCTTACAAAATTAAATTAAATCTTCATTAAATCCACAAGGTGAAAAAAGAAACAACACATTAGTAGCTACATGTGAGTTATCAAGTCTTATAAGGAGATGACTAAAGCTTCTTCTGAATCCATTCAGAAAGTTTTGCATGAATCCTCCCTCTCGTATCCATCACAAATCATTATTGCAAGCTGATTGAGTTCACAAAACCAAACATCAGTATCACATAATATACTGCTCTCTTTGTTAACAAGACAAAACAGGTTGTACTGTGTTTGACATTTGGACTGAGACTAACAAAAATGACAACTAGTCAAAAATAAATAAAAGTACATCACTATTTCTTCCATTTGGATGTATTTGGCATGCAGTTTGAAATAATTAAATTGTAAATTAAATATCATAAAGTACATGTTTCAATATTTCAAAAATAGTTTAAGTGATGTTATGGTGGACCTAATAAAATTCCAAATTATCCTTCTTTTGCTTCTTGATCTTCAGCTAGTATCATCAACTCCTACAAATGAAGCAAGTACAATTTAATCAACACAATATTTTTTTTACTAATTTACTAATTTTGAAATACTTTTCTCTCAGTTTTACATATTGCTATTATCAGAAAAGAAATGAACATATGTTGCTATCATGGATAAATGAATCTGAGTATAGTTTTCTAGAAGTTACAGTTTTAATAGCAAATATG